TGCTAGCATTATCACTGATTGTGCTAGTCTTGAGTCTATTAATTATTGTCCTGAACATCAATACAGTGGAGTACTCTGCAGTAGTAAGACTTTAATATAATAATAGTATAATAATAATCAGTTTATTTGCGAAATTATTATACACTATAATTATGTGTTTATTATAATATTTTTATTTTATTTATTTCATAGATCCAGATGCTACTGCAGCTGTTAATGGAGATACGGCTTTATTTAGTTTCCTGTCCGCCAGCAATTTAGGATTGCTGCTAATCTATTACAATGGTAGTTATGGTACTGTCTGTGATGATGAATTCTCAATAAATGAAGTTCAAGTGTTGTGCACTGAGCTGGGATATAGCCCTGATAATGGAAGTAATACTTAATTATTTATTTAATTTTTATTTTTAAATATTTTTAATTCCTTTTTTCAGTTGCAGTTTCAAGTGAGAAGTTTGTCTTCATTCAAGATGAATTCCAAGTCTATCTTGATACCGTGCGTTGCCGTAGCTACATAGACACGACCATTGGTCGCTGCCTAAACGACGGGTTTCGTTCAACAAACTGTGACACCATTGAATCAGTTGGAATCATATGCCAAGGTAAAAGAGAGTCATCAAATCATGTGACTATCATGAGATATTATATAGTTCAAGGTGGTTCCTGTAAGAATGGTGACGTTAGGTTAATGGGCGGGACAAGAGCAGCTGGTCGTGTGGAGTTGTGTATTGGAGGACAATGGGGGACCATTTGTAATAAAGGATGGAATGATAAGTCCGCTAATAAAGTCTGTAACCAGCTGGGGTATAAGAAAGGAAGTGAGTGAGAAAGAGAGAGAGAGAGAGAGCAAATGATGTTGTAATGATGTTTCAATTGTCCTATTATACATGTACAGTATATATGTTTATGCATGTACAGTACATGTTAATTGTGTTAATTTCTAAATCAATTAAAGTATACTAAGTGAGATTGTACATACAGTTTTATGTACCATGATTATTATAATATATATTTATAACCTGTGTTTATATTTCTTTATAGTACCCTCACTTGCTGGTCAGTTTCCAGCTGGTGTTGGTCCTATCTGGGGTTCTGAGATCAACTGTACTACACTAGCGTCACTCCTAGGCAGTGATCTTGACCCACCTGGTCTTCTTGACTGCTTGTGGCCACTACCAATAGGATCAACTCCTAACTGTACCCATTCTAATGATGCTGGGGTAATATGTACTAACGATACATCAGGTAATGGCATTAATAAAGTATTGTGTATTATATATGTGAACTGTTATTATTAAAATATATTATTATTTTGTTTTGTATTTAGTTAAGTATTTTTGTCACCCAGCTATTCTCAATAACATGTTTGTGATGTTTTAAAATTACATTTTATTCTCTCCCTCCCTCTCTCTCTCTCTCTCCAGCCCCTCCCATTGACACCAGGTGCATTGATAAGAGCGAGAGGTTGTTCCTCTTCAACGGTACTAACCCGTCAAGTGGTCGTATTGGTATCTGTGGATCGGATGGGCAGCTGCACAATATCTGTGACTTTATGTTCAGTGATCAGGCAGCTACTGTGATCTGTAGGGAATTGGGACTGAAAACACCAGGATGTAAGTAATAATAATAATAATAATGATAATAATAATAATAATGATAATAATAATAATAATAATAATGGTGGTAGTAATAATAATGATAATAATAATAATAATAATAATAATAATAATAATAATAATAATGATAATAATAATGACAATAGTGATAAATTAATAGTACTAATAATAAATGGATAATAATAATAATAATAAATTAATAATGAATTAATAATGATGATAATTAATGATAGTGATAATAGTGGTAATAATCATACTAATATGCACATTAATTTTGCAATACTTCAAATAACAGGGACTTTAATGTAATAACAGTAATAATAATGAATTAATAATAATAACAGTGTAATATGCACATTAATATCATCATCATTAAGTAACAGGGACTTTAATGTCCCTCCCAAAAATTTAGTAAAGGCAATGGCTGACTAATAACAATTTTGCACTGTTGAGAGAGTCACCTTTAGCTTAAATACTCTCCCCAAGTAAAAGGCTATCGTGGGGCACACCATTACATTCCAATGAATATCATTATCCATTGTCTACCATACATGATGTACATGTACTTCCTTCCTCTTCCTGTGCTGTATAGATGCAGTTCATGGCCTGTTCTTTGGCACTAGTAGTACCACTCCGTTATACACTAACAGCAGGTGCAGTGGAGAAGAGACAGCATACAGTGAATGCAATAGACTAATGACAAGCAGATGTATACCTGGTAGAGGAGATGTAGGGATAGTCTGTAGCAGTAAGCCATGAGAGAGGGAGAGAGAGAGAGAGAGAGAGTGAGAGAGAGAGGGAGAGAGAGGGAGAGAGAGAGAGAGAGAGAGAGAGAGAGAGAGAGAGAGAGAGAGAGAGAGTATGAATTATGTTTATAAGGATATTGAAATGTATTTATTGTCATTAGGTGATTCTAGTGGCATCTGCTCAAATGGTCAAGTTATTTTGTTACCATCCTCCAACAGTTCGGAGAAAGTATACAAGAAAGTTGGTGTTTGCTTCGGAAACTTTTGGGGATATATTTGTCCGGAGGGCTGGGACAATAACGACGCTAAAGTAATCTGTAGGCAATTGGGACTCTCTTTAACATGTAAGAGGAGAAGAGAGAGGAGAGAGAGAGAGGGGGGGAGAGAGGTGGGAGAGAGAGGGGGGGAGAGAGAGAGGGTATATGCACGTATGTACATATTGTGAATTGCTAATGATTTAAATTGTTTATACTTTTCAAACTAATTATCACTGTTCCAAATATTGCATATTTATAATCTTTATTAATCAACATCTGCCACCTGGTAATGCAAGAAAAACAATAACAACTATAATACCTCTAATTATAAAAACACCGTTCAATATTGTTTCTTTCTCTAATTATAGGGACAGGAGGTAAAGGAATTGACGCTGAATATGAGAATTTTAACGACCGGTTGTGGATGAATGAGGTTCAGTGTACTGGGAATGAGACTAGATTGCTGGAGTGTGGTAGGAGGAGATTAGGGACATTGAGGTCAAATTGTGACGATGGTGGATTTGCAGCTGTAGCCTGTCTTAGAGAAAGTAACAATAAAAATAAATAAATGAATAATAATAATATATAATAGTAATAATAATTATTATTAATGATGAATTTCCTTTCTAGTGCCCTGTACTAATGGTCAGTTTCGTCTAGTTCCAGCTGCTCCTGCTAATACAACCCAACAGCTGGTAACTAAGGGAAGGCTGGAGTATTGTATAGATCAGTCCTGGGCTAGTGTATGTAGGCGTGGTAATTACGCTGACAAATTAAACATTATTTGTCGTAAAATGAATATTTTTAGTACGGCAGGTATAAAAATTTTTTAATCTAATTTAATCATTTCTTGTAGCTCCTCGTTTATTACTAGTCCCTGATATCACAGCTGCTACTGATAATATTGTGACAATTAGTATCAACTGTACTCCGCCCACTCAAGATAATTGCACTGTCATTGTTGACGATAGGGCGGAGTCTTCCTGTTCCCATAGCGATGACATTGGGATTGATTGTAATCCTAGCATTGAACCGACAGCTGGAGGGGGAGGAGGACAGCGAAATTGTTGTTTTTTATTTTAAATATTTTATTTTTTTATTTTTTTATTTTTTAGATGTTTTATTGATTGCTAGTGTCACTACAGCTGGTGGTCTGTTCCTAACAGTTACACTGATATTGCTAATTATTATAATAATTGCTTGTGTTGTCGTCAGAGTTAAAAATAAAAAGAAAATGGATTTATACAATCAAACCTATGATCGGAGACCATCTGGTGATAAATGGTAAGGTAATAGAAATTAAAAAAAAAGACATAATAGTTTTATAATTTTATCTGATACATATTGATGTACTTATGTTGTATAGAAAGTTTAAGCTGATTCCAACTTCAATTTTTTAAGTTACGGCCATTAAAAAAAATCGGCCAAAATCTGAGAAAATCCCTGTACTATAGCCCATGGTTTTTCCCAAAAAATGGCTCCGAAATCAACCCAATTTTTATTACATTTTTCTGATACATATTAATGTCCTTATGCTGTGTAGAAAGTTTGAGTTGATTCCGACTTCAATTTTTAAAGTTACAGCCATTTGAAAAATCGGCCAAAATCTGAGAAAATCCCTGTACTATAGCCCATGGTTTTTTCAAAAAATGGCTCCGAAATAACCCCCAATTTTTATTACATTTTCTGATACATATTGATGTACTTATGTTGTATAGAAAGTTTGAGCTGATTCCAACTTCAATTTTTTAAGTTACGGCCATTTTAAAAAATGGGCCAAAATGTGAAAAAATCCCTGTACTATAGCCCATGGTTTTTTCCAGAAAATGGCTCCGGAATCACCCCCAATTTTTATTACATTTTCTGATACATATTGATGTACTTATGCTGTGTAGAAAGTTTAAGCCGATTCCAACTTCAATTTTTCAAGTTACGGCCATTTAAAAAAATGAGCCAAAATC